CGAATGAACCGGTTCTAAGTGAAGGCAGCCAGGGATTGAGAAATAATTAGAAAGAAAGAAGACACAGAGATAGATTTAAAAGCTGGGAGCTGGGTGGGACACCATCCTCTCTGCTGGAGAGGCAGGATGACGACGACCCATACTTTCTTATTTCTTTGCATGCTTTGTAATTTTTGTTGAAAATTGGACATTTTGAAAATTATAATGCAGTAACTTTGGAAATAACATTCTTCTCCTCCCCAAGGTTTGTTGCTGCTGCTTGTTGTGCATTACAGTTATTTGTTTAATGACTTTTCTAAACTATTTTTTGTGAAGGCTATGTTATTTTGTTGTGTGTGGTTACTAAAGTCGCTGTTCCTTTAGCATAGAGGTCAACTGGTGATTTTATAGCCATCTCCTCATAGAGCCCAAACAACAATGGCAACTAAAACCCCATACAACTCTCCTGGTCTTTGCAGATTGACTCTGCTGGAGTTCTCCTTCAACATCAGCTAGGCCTCTTGCAACTCTCCCATAGCCTTCACTTTTTTTATTTTTGTAATCTTTATTGTTCAGATTATTATGGATGTTCCTCTTCCCCCCCCCAACTAGCTCCCCTCCACCCAGTTTCCACCCCACCCCATGTTCTTACCCCCCCTCACTGTCCTCTTCCATAGGTGTAAGATGTTTCTCCAATCTCTTCCCACAACCCTCACACCCCTTCCCCCTGAGAATTGTCAGTCCACTCCCTTTCTATGCCCCTGATTCTATTATATTCATTAGTCCATTCTGTACATCAGATTTTTAAATATATTTTATTGATTTTTTTTACAGAGAGGAAGGGAGAGAGATAGAGAGCTAGAAACATCGATGAGAGAGAAACATTGACCAGCTGCCTCTTGCACACCCTTACTGAGGATGTGCCGGCAACCAACGTACATGCCCTTGACCAGAATCGAACCTGGGACCCTTCAGTCCACAGGCCAATGCTCTATCCACTGAGCCAAACTGATTTCGGCTCATTTGATTTTTTAGATTCACTTGTTGATAGATATGTATTTGTTGTCCCTTTGTTCATAATTTTTTATCTTTACCTATTTTTTTTTTTTTTTTTTTTTGTCTTCCTCTTCTTAAAGAATACCCTTCAGCATTTCATGTAATACTGGTTTGGTGTGATGAACTCCTTTAGCTTTTTTTTTTTGTTTGTTTGTTTTAATCTGTGAAGCTCTTTATCTGACCTTCAATTCTGAATGATAGCTTTTCTGGGTAAAGTAATCTTGCTTGTAGATTCTTGCTATTCATCACTTTGAATATTTCTTGCCACTCCTTTCTGACCTGCATAGTTTCTGTTGAGAAATCAGCTAACAGCCGTATGGGTACTCCCTTGTAGGTAACTAATGGTTTTTCTCTTGCTGCTTTTAATATTATTTCTTTATCTTTTGCTCTTGGCATTTTAATTATGATGTGTCTTGGTGTTCTGTGCACTTCCTGGACTTGTAAGTCTATTTCTTTCACCAGGTAGAGGAAGTTTCCTGTCATTAGTTCTTCAAATAGGTTTTTAATATCTTGCTCTCTCTCTTCTTCTGGCACCCCCATAATTCAGATGTTGGTATGCTTGAAGTTGTCCCAGAGGCTCCTTACACTATCTTCATATTTTTGGATTATTTTTTCTTTTTGTTCTTCTGGTTGGGTGTTTTTTGCTTCCTCACATTTCAAATCTTTGATTTGATTCTTGGGATCCTCTAATCTATTATTGAACCTCTGTATATTATTATTTATTTCAGTCAGTATATGTTTAATTTCTGACTGGTCCTTTTCCTTTCCTTTCCTTTTCTTTTTCTGCATTCTCATTAAGATCTTTGAAGGTCTTGTTAAGTTCCTCAGATGTTTCTAGAAGATTCTTTTAAAAAAATATATATATTTTATTGATTTTTCACAGAGAGGAAGAGAGAGGGATAGAGAGTTAGAAACATTGATGAGAGAAAATCACGAATCAGCTGCCTCCTGCACACCCCCTACTGGGGATGTGCTGGAAACCAAGGTACATGCCCTCGACCGGAATTAAACTCAGGACCTTCCAGTCCGCAGGCCGATGCTCTATCCACTGAGCCAAACCGGTTTCAGCTCTAAAAGATTCCTGAGTATGCAAAAGCCACTGCTCACAGCTTGGGTGGGGTTGTAAATTGGGTGGGTTGGTGTCTCAGGGAATCACCAGGGCAAAGCAAACAGCAATGGCTGCCAGTAAGCCCTGCACCGGAGAGGTCCCTGTGTCTCCCTGTCCTGTGCCCCTACGCAGGAACAATGATCGCTGTGAGCACCTCTGAGAGAAAGCCACTCTCGCGTTCTGGCCTGATGCCAGGCAGTCCAGTTTCTCCCCATATGAGTCTGGATCCCCGGAGTCTCACCCAGAACTGGAGTTCAGAGCAATCACGAACTTAAAACAACAACAATAGTGCCCCCCGGTTGCCAGCCTCCATGCGCGCCTCCACACCCCCTACCAGTCATAACGCACCTTTTTCTTTCCTTCTAGTTATAGGACTTCTAATCAGTCAGCTTTCCTGTGGTTCTGGATGAGAGTTGTTTTGTCTTTTAATTATCGTTTTGATGTGGTTGTGAGAGGCAGCACGTACAGGTGTTTACCTGTGCCCCATCTTGGTTCTCCCTAGCCTTCACTTCTTGATTATGTGGAGCCTGACCATCAGCCAGAGGTGAAAGCTGGCGGTCTTTCTTGAGCATGTGTCAGCCCTGGGCTCACATGCGGCCTTCTAGTCTCTGGCTTAAGTGGGAGCCTTACAAATTCTTTATTCCTCCTTCCTCTCAGCCTCTTCTTTTCAGGCTGTTCAGTCTCTCTGATGCTTGCCCCATCTATTATCTCTTGCCCAAGCTGGCTGTAGTTAGTAGATCTGTCTTTAAACACTTTTTTTAAAAAAATATATTTTATTGATTTTGTACAGAGAGGAAGGGAGAGAGATAGTTAGAAACATCGATGAAAAAGAGTCATCGATCAGCTGCCTCTTGCACACCCCCTACTGGGGATATGCCCGCAACCAAGGTACATGCCCTTGACCAGAATCGAACCCGGGACCTTTTAGTTCCCAAGCCGACGTTCTATCCATTGAGCCAAACCGGTTTCGGCTGTCTTTAAACACTTTTGACAAATGCTCGCCAGGAGGCCACTTCAGCCCAGAGAAAGTTCTGAAGGGAGTTAAAAAAAAGTCAAGGCCATAAACATCCATCAGGGAGCCACTAGATAGGTCAAAACACACCCCCACAATTCTGTAAGAATGTTTGTACCCCTCTCTCTTCCCCAGCACCAGAAAACCATTCCAGGAACACAGTCCCAGGTCTGCCTCTGAGGTGGGATGATAGGCAGGTACCTTCAAAAGCCAGGTTGTAATCTTTCTGAAGTTTAGCAGCTCCTTTTTTCATGAAGCATCCCCCTGGTTGCAGTCAGTTTTATTAGATACCGAAGTTGTGTACGTGTTGGTTCTGATAGTTATTGCCAGCTTTCCTTGTAGCTTTTGTGAAGGGACAGATTTGGGGGTTCCCTGATCTCAGATATGGACATTTTTACAGTTATTTTTATATTGACGATTGCTCTCTAAAAAGAATAATTCATTTTATAGTGCTAACTAACAGCCATGCATTCAATTAGTTATAAATTTTTAAATAAATTTTTGTTATAAATTTTTAATTTTGTTATAAATTTTTATAAAATTTGTTATAAATTTGTTATAAATTATTTGATTTTGTTATAAATTTTTTATAAAATTTTTTATAATTTTTTAATTTTCTGATTATTATTGAATAATACTTCACAGTCATACTGATTTCAATTTATTGCATTATTGTTGAGTTTGAACACTTATTGATTTAGTGTTTGTTTTTCTGTAAACTGTTGATTTTTTTGATCATTAGACTCTTAAGCTTGTTCAGGTATTAGCCTTTCACCTGCATTTTCATTTACCTGCGCCTGGGCTTGATGTACGAGAGACATCTGTGTAAATGGCCTGGTCCATCCTAGCTGGGGACAGACAGCCCCTAATGCTGGGGAGGCTTGTTGGACCAGATTCCGGGTCTGTTTAAATCATTCGTTCATTAAATCATTCATGTACCGAGCCCTGCCGAGTACTAGGCCTGTGACGGTGCTGGGGCAGCCATGCCCCACCCCTTGTGGCAAAGAGCTGGACCGGGGTGACATACAGCAAGGTGCTCAAGATGTCATCTCAGAACACGGTTTTCCTGCTGAGCCATGCTAGTTTCCATTCTGTGCAGGTGATGTCCTTACACTTGCCCATCACATCCTTGAAAAGAGAGGCCAGATTGAGCCCCCACCAACTCAGCAACTTGATCTTTGTGGTGCATGTGCTCAGTCCCTGGGTGAGCTGGAAGGGGTGTCCTCCTGGGTACCAATAGGCCAGGCCCTCCTTTCTGGGAACCTAGGGCCCCAGGACATGAGCTTTCTTCTGGGGGCCCCTCCCCTCCCCTGACCAGCGGTTCCTTCCAGGACAGAGCTCCCAGAAGCTGTCGGGAGGCCAGGTCCCAGAAGGCGGTGCTTGCCCTTCCTCAGCCTGAAGGTAGGTGTCCCTCACTTCAGAGGTGGAGCTCTCCTGAGGCTTGGGGCCACAAGGGAGTGGAAAACCCATGGCTGGTTTTCCTTACATCATTTTAAAAGATATGTTATTACTGATTTTAGAGTAAGAGGAGGGAGGGAGGGGGAGAGAGAGAGAGAGAGACAGAGAGAGAGACAGAGAGAGAGACAGAGAGACAGACAGACACAAACGTCTATATAGGCTGCCTCTTGCACACCAGATTGAGCCCACAACCCTGGCATGTGCCCAATGGGAATTGAATTGGCGACCTGGTGCATAGGGTAATGCTCAACCAACTGAGCCACACCGGCCACGGCCCCCCTTGCATCTTGCAATACAGGGTTGCCCGTCTCCTCACCCAGCATGGCGGGATGGTGGCAGTCAGGTGGGATACTGTAGTACTCATCCTGTCCACAGGGGTCCGTCCAGGCAGCCGCCGCAGTCCCGGTTCTTCTGCCCAACCTGAACCACAGTAGCTTCGCTCACCCCCTACGCCAGGGGATCTGCCGGCCCACCCAGCGCCTCTGCAGCCCCAGCTCGGCTCCGGCTCCAAGATGTCGAAGAAGCCCAAGATGCAGGCCACAGGAGACACGCTCCCCGCCGACTGGAGCCCCCTGCGTGTCCCGCTCCTGACCCCGAGGGCCAAAGGGGATGTGGCCCCCACGGACTGGAGCCCCCCGCATGTCACATGTCTGACCTCGAGGGCCACGGGGGATGTGGTTCCCACCCACTGGAACCCTCCACATGTCACGTTTCGGACCCCGAGAGCTATAGGGGACGTGGCCCCCACGGACTGGAGCCCTCCACATGTCACGTTTCTGACCCCGAGGGCAACGGGGGACATGGTCCCCACCCACTGGAGCTCCCCGCATGTCACATTTCTGACTCCCTGGCCACCGAAAGCCGGCAGGGGGCCCCTAGCCCACAAGTGGGTGGGCACAGTGGGGCCTGAGGGCCTCAGGAGACTGGCCTGCTCTGTGCCCATGGAGCTAAAGCAAGAGCCCCATGACTCGGACCCCATGGAGGACCTGGCCTCACGGGAGGAACAGCTCTGCAGCCCGGCAGGTGCCAGCCAGCAGGCTGCAGCAGGGACCAGCACTGGGGTAAGCAGAGGCCTCCTCTCCTCACTGCCCTTCTCTGGTCCCCTGCCTCTGTCACCCCCAGGCTACTTCTTTTGGCCACTCCTTGGCTATACCCCAGCTGGCCTCTCACCATCCCTCCTCATCCTCATCCCTCTAACCCTCGGCTCCAAAGCCCGGGGTGGCCTCCCTTTATTCCACTCCTCGCTCTGGCCGGCGGTGGCGTGGCAGTGGGGCCTTTGGGGGTGTGGTTGGGATGTGGCCGCAGAGAAGGGCCTTGGGGCCGGGGCAGGACTAGTCAGGCGCAGAGGCCGGGCTGGCTGTGGTCCGTGGACCTGGAGTCCTGAATGGACTCTTCTGCGGTGAACTTCCCACGGAGCAAACCCCCTGCCAGGTAGACTGTGGGGACACGTAACGGTGTCTGTGACAGTCCAAGACGGCCAGTCACTGAAATGCCCACCACTGGGGGAGCTGGGGAGTTAGTTCCGGCCACAATCGGGGCGCCCTGAGAGTGTTTCTGAAGTTACCCCTGTAGTACTGACATGGAATGACCCTGTTAGTGCGCCCGGTGCGTGCGGGGGCTGGGGGTGCTCCCCTCCGTGCTGAGAGGGCTCTGGCAGGCCTGTCTGCTCGCCTGCGCACAGAATCGCTCTGATAGCACGCCTGGCCTGCGGGGAGGGCATTTTACTGTACGCACTCATCTCATGTTGGCTTATTTTTTAGTCAGGTGAATGGGTTGCCTGCTCAGAAAAGTAAACAAGATAAAGAGGGTACTTTAGATTAAAATTCTTTGTGTTTCCCTCTACTTTGTTTTTCTCTCTCTTCCCCATTCCCTGTCTAGCTCACCGCTGAGGGCTCGGAAAGCTATGTCAACAGCTTAGATTCCTTGCTGCAGGAAAAGAGGTGAGTGCAGGGAAAGGTCCGTCATGGGCTGTTCATGTCTGTGGGCTTGGCAGTGCCTTCACAGGGCTCATCCTCTGGCTCAGATCAATGCCTCCTAGGCTGCAGCCACCCACCTCCCCCACAGTGAGCCCCGCCCGCCCCCGCCCAGCGCCCTGGGTGCCGACCTAATAACGAACAGAGCGGCAGCCAGGTAGAGGAGGGCATGGCCAAGCAGAGAGCCCAGAACGCCCCACCCCCTGCCCATCACAGAGCCCGCGTCCCCGCTCCTCTTCCCATCCTGACTCTTCTGCCCAGTTCCTGCCAGTTTGGAGAAGCGGGGAGCTGGTCTCGGTTCCCTTTCCTGTGTTAGAGGCAGAGGAGGCGTGTGCGCCCGCCTCCTGCCGCCCAGAGAGGGTCACTTCCCACTGCCTGCTCTGTGCCAACCCTGACTGGCGCACGCTTTGCTCATTTCCCATGCACGCCATCTAGTTCACGTGTGCCGGCTCCCTGGGTCACAGTGAGCCTTATCTCACGAAGAAGCCCTTCCAAAGGCCAAAGTGATGTCCCTTAGGGAGGCGGGGGCGGTGTTGGAGACACTGACTTTTGCACTGGGCGGTCCTCGTTCTGCACTGGGCCCTGACCGGGCGCCGGGTGTACAGAGGCCATGCAGCCCCTGCATCAGGCTGCTGTGGAGGGGGCTGGAAGAGTGGCACCTGGAGATCAGGAATGGCTCCCCATAGGGGTCCTTGCCCTTGAACCTCAAAGGGTTAGAGTCGGGGAGGGCAGCGGAGGGGACCACACATACAGGTGGCCAGAGTGGAGCTGCAGCCGCGCCGTGAACGGCAGCTGGGTCCTGAGGGGCCTCGGGAATGCCAGATGGGCACCGGGGAGGTCTAGGCAGGCAGTGATGCGATTGCCCACGTGTCTGGGAAAGAGCTCCGGGTGCATCATGGAAGATGGTGGGAAGGAGGAGAGGAAGTAGGGCAACTGGTGATGAGAAGGGATGTCTTTGTGGGAAAGACCTGGACCTGTGGTGCCCAGCGGGCCTGAGTACATTGAGCCAGACGTCATCCAGTGAGTGACTAGCTAGGGGGACCTGCACTCAAGACAGAGGCCCAGGCTGCAGGTACCAATCTAAGAGCTAGAACCTATGGGCAGAGCCAGGGTAAGCCCTGGGAGGGGCAGGCCAAGGGCTGGGAGTCATGACTCCCTCCGCAGCCCACAGTCAAGGACAGCCGAGGACAGAGAAGGCTGGAGCCAGTGAGGGAAGGTGATGGTTGGCAGCAGGGCCTGTGATGGGGGCCGGTTGAAAAGGGAAGTACAGGGGAACCTCAGTTCTCTAACTTAATTTGTTCTGGAAGGCTGTTTGAGAAGTGATTTGTTCAAAAAACGAATCATTTTCCCCATTAGGAATAGGTAAATTGAGCCTTGGCCAGTGTTGCTTGGTGGTTAGAACATTGGCCCAAATACCTAAAAGTCTTGGGTTTGATTTCTGATCAAGGACACATACTTGGGAAGTAGGTTCAATCCCTGGCCCTCGTCAAGGCTCATGTGGGAGACAAGAAACTGATGTTCTTTCTCACATTGATGTTTCTCTCATTCACTTGCGCTCTCTCTCTTCCTCGCTCTCTCTCTCCCCCTTTGCCCTCCCTCCGTCCCTCCCTCTCTTCCATTATCTCTTAAAAAAACACACCAAAAAACACAAACCAAAAAAACCAAAAAACAAGAATGGAAAAATATCTTTAGAATGAGGAGTAGCAAGACAAAAAGTACTGTAAATTGAATTAATCCATTCCAGACCTCAAATGATTTCCTGTTTTAACCTTTCTTATATACAGTGCACATCCAAATACTGTTTAATCTACAAATCAACACTTCTTTTCTTAAATTTATTGAACAACCCTCTACTAGCCTTAAGTGAATTTTTCATATATCATTGCTTCAGAAAAGCTATCACCAGCTCACTGCTTTTTGTTTATCTAAATCACATGTGTCAAACACAAGGCCCGCGGGCCAAATCCGTCCTGCCAGGCCTTGCAATGTGGCCAGCACCGCGCTGTCATCACTGCACTCTGATGCGTTTCCATCACAATGACAGTTTATGACTGTTCAGTAAACCATTCGGCCCGCGATTTAGGCTGGATTTTAGATTTTGGCCCCTTCTCTGATTGAGTTCGACACCCCTAATCTAAATCAACGAGTTTGTCCACCTTTTCAATTGCCTTTTACACCCTTAACAGTTTTAGCACTCTTGGTGGCCTCTGTGTTTTAAAACTGTGCTAATCTCCATTTGCCAGCAACCAGAGCATTCTCTCCTTTGTCTGTGGCCTGAGAGATGCTTTTTGTCCGGCCGAGGTGTCAGCTGGAAAGGGTTGTTAGGTCGAAAACTGAAGTTTGGGTCGACAATCAAGGCATTTTGTTTTTCTGTGAGCAACTTGGTTGGGAACGTTGGAGAGTTGAGGTTTGACTGTAACGTGCTCAGGGCCTCAGGCCTCTGACTGGGGCCCAGGGTGGGGGGAAGGTCTGGAGCTGCCCTTGGAGGCGGAGGGTGGTGAGCGGCCGCCGTGGGCGTGGGCTGCTCCAAGGGGCTGGCGCAGCGTGATGTGCCAACAGTGAGCAGGTGCCACAGTGAGGTCCGTGATGAAAGCACACGTTCGCCCCGCCGGCGGGCTCCGTGGCGAGCACCAGCCTAGGCGCCAGGAGGTCGAGGTTCCACTCCTGGTCAGGGCCAGGCCTGGCGGTGGGCTCGATCCCAGGGGGGCCTGCAGGAGGCAGCCCATCAATGGTTCTCTCTCCCTCCTCCTTCCTCTCTGAAATCAATAAAAATATATTTAAATTAAAAATGGAATTGGTATATGTACCAAAATAATAACTTAATAAAAATATATTAAAAATAAATTAATTAATTAAAAATGGAAAATAAATAAAAGCACACTTTTAAGTGTGTAGTGCAACAAGTCTTCCTTAGTAATTTCTTTTAGCCCTCACTGGCGGACATGCTTTTATTGATTTTAGAGAGAGAGGAAGGTTGCCCGACTGTTTCCTGCATCCACTTTGCTGGGGATTGAACCCACAGCTAGAGTCTGTGCCCAGAATCAAACCTGTGACATTTGGGTCTAAGGGACAGCGCTCCAACTAACCAAGCCACACTGGCCAGGCAGAAACCATGTCCTCTCAGGCCTGTGCTCCTCTGCACACTCAGAAATGATTCGGTCAATGCAGTGCAGTTCTGCCCCCGTGAAGGTAGAAGTTGTGGGGGTTTTGTTGTGTGTTTTTGTTGTTATTGTTTTGTGTGGGGTTTTTTGTTTTTTTGTTTTGCAGAAAAGCAAGGAAGAATTCATTGGCTGCAGCAAAAATATACTTAGGAGAGTGAAACAAGGACGGGCTTAGAAGAAGCCACAGGGGAGCCCAGGCTGGGCTGCCCAGGCTCCCTGGGAAGGCAGAGAAAAGGGGCCTGGGAGCAGGGCCAGGGGGTTAGCCCAGGAAGAGCTGCCCGCTGCTCCCCTGGTTGCAAGGCTCATGAGGTCCCCTAGAGGTTAGGGACACATGCATGTGGGGAAGGAGAGGGGAAAGGGAGAGCACAGCGTGCTCCTGCAGGGAGAGCCAAGATGGAAGTGTTTGAGGCGGGCATTTCGGCTGCCGGCCCCTCCTTCCGGGGGTCCCTGCAGCCAGTGCCGCTGGATGACCCTCAGGACAGCACTGACCTCTGGCTCTCATCTCCCTGCAGGGAACAGGCCCTGGAGCCGGAGCCGGGGCAGCTGCTTCTGCAAGACCCTGCTGACCATGGCTCCTTGGATGCCCACGAGGAGGCCGGGCCCCTCACGCCCGAGCACAGGTGGCGGGGCACACGTGGGAAGAGGGGGCTATGAGGGGCTCAGGTGGGCACTGGGGAGGGTATGAGGGGCAGGCAGAGGTGGGGAGGTTATGGGGGAAGCACCCCTTTACCCACCTCTTCATGCAAACAATTTAGCCCACCACACTCTGGGTTTTGAACAATTTCAGCCAGAGATTTGTGTCCTTTATGAGTTCTCTGGTCGCCTCCTTCCCTTAAACCCACATTTACTGGGAAATACTTATTCCTAGCTGTGTGCCAGGTCTAGTGTGGGCCTTTGAGGACACAGATCCAAAGCATGGCCTGCTCGGCCCCACTTGTCTGCCCACATCCACGGAACCTACTCTTGGGACAGTGACTACACAAAACTGCAGCCTCAATGGAGACTGCCTTTGAAGGGGCGCGCAGCCACCTGGCACGTCCCGTCCCCGCTGGGAAGAGAAGGCGGCTTCTCTCGGTGCTGCCGTGCAGGGTCTCATCTGTGCCAGCCTCAGAGATGCCCAAGGACCACAGCTGAGTCCGCCTCAGGGAATCCGTTATGTGTTCCTCCATGTGTCTGTCCATCCTTCCATCCAGTCACCCATCCAACAAACGTCCACCGCGCCTGACTGGAGCCAGGCTCTGTAACAGACTCGGGACGCAGCGGGAACAAAGCCCGCGGACATCTCTGCCCTCAGATCATTGCCTTTAGGGCAGGAGACAAACAGTGAGCCGGCCGGGAGAAGCCATGTGACAGGCGCTCATGAGAAAGGATAAGCTGGGGAGGGGCTTTGGGACTGTTGGGGGGCTGGGAGGTTTGGGATGAGGGGTTGGGGAACCACACCACCCCCCACCCCTGCACCAGGTGACTTTTATGCAGAGCCCTGGAAGAGGCGAGTGGTGTCAAGGAGAGACTGGCGGAGAGGGAGGGGGGAGGTATTAATCAAAGGGGCCAGAAGGGTTTGGCCTGAGCAAGCAGAAGGGAGTTGTGTGGGGTAAAACTAAGGGTTATGGGGTGGGGTGAGGTGGGATTGAGAGTTCTTTTGGGGGATCCAGAGGCAGAATCAAGGAGGCGGCTAGGATGCCTTGTCTGGAAAGGCAGACTTGGGAGTTTCTATATACAAATGGCATTTAAAGCCACAAAACTGGGTGGGATGACCTGGGAGCCATTTATAGAGAGAAGACACAGGGGCCCAAGGCCAACACAGAGGCCACGCTGACCTTGACAGGAGCGACTCTGGCGTGGCTTTGGGCAGATCTGATGGCACAGGTTCCTAGGAGAACAGAGCAGAACAAAGAGCAAACTGGGCCGTAGTTGGAGGGGGGCGGAGTCAGGACAGATCTCTCTGTCTTTTCCCTCCCTCCCTCCCTCCCTCCCTCCGGCTGCCACCTCAGCCATGTGATGCTCAACACGCCCGACTGTGGCTGTCCCGGCCGTGCCTCTCTTTTTTCTCAGTCCTCACCTGAGGATATTTACCCACTGATTCTAAGAGAGAGGGGAAGGTGGGGGAAAGAAAGACACATTGATTGGTGGCCTCCCACATGCACTCCAACCGGGGCTAGGAATCGAACCTGCAACCCAGGTACGTGTTCCTGACTGGTGCACAGGCCGACGCTCTAACCACGGAGCCACAGCGGCCAGGGCCGGCTCTGCCTTTGCCTGAGTCTGAGTGCCGTTATCCCGCTGGTTTGCGTGACAGGCGGAGTGTGCATTCGGCACCCTCTTCCTGAGGATGTTGAGTGAAAGCACACGGCCTCCTCGGGGCCTCACTTTCTGGTTGTTGGCCAGAGATGATTAAGTGCGACACTGTGGTGGGCTGTTTGCTTTTTCCTGCAATTTTCTCGGTAACCAGTCACCTCAGGACTAGATCAGGGCCCAGCACACTTCCTGGGAGATTTGTAGCCGGTAAATGTTCAGGCTGTGGGCCATGCAGCCTGTCTAAGACCAGGCTCTGCTGTGCGGAACGCCCGCAGACATGGGAGTGGCTGCGCTGCCCTGAAGCCTCGATCAGAACTGGCAGGCGGCACTCAGACCCGGTCTAGGTTCGGGGTCCCTGCCCCCTGCCGGTGCCAGTCCTCACTGTGCAGAGCCCAGTGGCCGGATGGGCTGAGGGGAGGGCTGTGTGCTGAGCGTGGAAACGGTGGGACCTCGGGGTGGAGGCCTCGGTGGCAGCACAGGTGATGGGAGCACTGCTCTCTCTGTGTTGGGGCCTCTGGATTTGGTTTCCAGGTTCCCGCTCGCTGGACAGATAGCCTTGCAATTGAACCTTTTAGAAATCCCTGCAGCAAGAATCATTACTGTAGCTCTGCCTTCCTGCTGCGGGCACTCAGGACTCGGAAGCCACGCTCGGATATGTTTAAGTCCTAGCAGGAAAGGAGTTATCTGGCCAACCGGTTTAAGACAGAAGGGGTTTCAGGCTTGGAAATCACTGACACTTTTCTGGGCACGTGACATTTTCAAGCTGGACTTTGAGAAAGCCTTTGATAGCAGCCATTTTGAGGTGGTGGTTTTGATGTGGGGTCATTTTGATGGGACAGTTCAACTGTCTGCTTCAAAGAAAAGGACTTCCTGAGACACAAAGCCAGCAGCGTCTTCCCCCCTGAGTCGGGTGTGGCGCATGGAGGAGCGTAGGTCCGGAGGGGGGAGCTGAGGGGCCCGGTCTCGTCTGGCAGACAAGTCGCCTGTGACTCATAGAACCACAGCTGCCCTCAGAAGGGGACCCTGAGCATCCTGAGCCGATCATCTGCTCGCACGCGAAGGACTGACTGGCTAGTATTTGAATGGACAACGTCTTACATTCCTATTTCTTCAAGTTGAAAGACCTTGTGTGTGTGCTGGGTGGGGGAGGGAGGACATTTAAACCACAACAGCATCCTTTATCCTCAGTTTGGGCTGCACAGGAAGCCCTGGATTAGATGTGTGAGGGTCATCCCGGAACTCTGAATGACAGACAGACAGACCTTACAGTTAATATCACAAAAGTCCCTTTGAACAGTGGTTTGGGGACAAGGTTAAGACCTTTTTGTAGGTAAGCCTACTTCTTCCAGACTTTTAATCATTTGAACATTTTTTAATTACAAAAACAACTTAGAGTATTCAAACAGTGAAGAAATTAATCTCAAATGGCAAAGAAACGAGTAAAACAGAAAATGGTTTCACCCTCTGGCGGCTTTCCCAGGCTGCCCCAGAGGCCCAGGGTCACTCTCCCAGCGTGATGCACCCCTTTGTGCTGTTCCACCCTCAGGGCAGCCTGCAGTCTGGTCAGCCTGACCGTGGCCCGCCTGGCACTGCCAGAGAGCTCACCTGGCCAGCAGCGGGCAGCCACCTCGCGCTCCGCCTCCGGTGCCAGCTGCTGTGTCCCAGATCCTAACGGGAGCCCCAAGTGCTACCCACTCCGAGTTCACAGGCTCAGCCCGGCTGAGTGTGGCCGGGGAGCAGTCCTCTGCGAGAGAGGGCATGCAGTACCGTAGCTGCTTTACTTTGTTGCTGTTACTGTTGTATAAAATAAAGAGGAAATGCCTCCTTTTTTCCAAATCCTGCAGCCCAGGACTGACCCCAGGTCATAGTTGCATGTACCAGATATTGGGGGTGGGGGGTGGGATACTGCATGCATTCATGAGTGTGTGTATACCTACACACACACACACACACACACACACACACACACGTGCACGCACACTTTCTGTTCTGCAGCTTGCTCTTCCACCGCATTGTGGTGCAGCCACCTCACTCCCAGGAACCATCCCACTGCCTCCCTTTCCCCATTCCCTCCTCATGCAGTGACGGGACTGACGGGCACACCCTCCCGACATAGTTGGATGGTATCCCTCTTCTTCTCCCTGCTCTCTGATCTGCTCAGTCAGACTCACAGGAAAGGTGGGGCCTGGGCATCTGCATTTTGGAGGCTTCCCAGGGAGTCCTCCTGATCACACAGCTTAGGACCACTGCCCGGAGGAAGAGCCTGGGCTCCTTCATGGTGAGGATGCCCTCCCTGACCCTGGCTGACCCAGGTCTGGGCTCTGGCTGTCCACCTGCTGTAGGGCACTGGGAAATGCAAGGGCACTGATGGATCCTCCAGCACCTGGCACTGCACATGGTGGGCACCCGGTGAACATTGGAGCTGAAAAGAGCCGACGGGTGGGGCTGGGGTGTCACCAGAGCCTCTAGCCCGTGGACTGAGGCTCAGGGAGGGATCAGGTGTACGACACAGCGAAAGGGGGGGCTCCTGGTTCCCAGACCGCTGGTTGTCTGTGAGGTCCTAAAGGTTGGCGACCGCTGCCTTCGTCTACATCGCAGGGTTTTTCTCCGTCAGCAGGTGGCGCTGTCCTGGTTCAGTTCCACCCTCCCCTCCGCTCAGCTCCCAGGCCCCAGCTGCAGACCAGGTGTGCCTGCTGACCGGCTCTCCATCCTTGCTTGGCAGGACGCTGTTGGAGAGGTACTCCATGTCCCTAGAGGTCATCCCCTCAGTCCATCCAGGAGAGGCCGTGTTTCTACCCAGGCATCGCCCCCTGCCTTGCGACCTGGACTGTTCGCAGCTGGAGCCCCGCAACCACCTGGAAAGGCAGTTCCTCAGGTAAGTGTCTGTGCTGCATGACCTGGCCCTCCCCATGGAGCCCCTGTTAGGACCAGCCCAAAGGAGGCAACCCAAAGCCGTGTTTTGGCCCGTTTGGAAGTGTCGACTTTTCGAGATGTCGATGAAAGAGCCACCGTGTCTAACAATATTTAATTTTTAAATCTTACATTTCAGTAAATATTAGCCTGTGTATTCATGTACTCATATTGCCTTTCCCCCTCACACCTGAGCTTCATCAAACAACCTTAATCACAGTCATCCTACCTGCCTTCGGAGTTACGTCTCCACCAGCACTGGAGCCACTTCTGGGCCAGCTAGCAGTTTGCAGAGCATGCGCGTCGCTGCCAGCCACTCCGGAGGCCCTGCGTCAGCCTGTGCGCGAACCGGGAGTGTGTCCGGGAGGAGGCTCTGTGTGCAGTGTCAGGACAGCTTGTTCCTCTTCCCTGGGAAGGAAGTTCACGATTGTTATCACATAAGCTCTGACTATGTTGTTTTCTAAGGCTTAAAAAACCTCATGACAGTAACATGCAATACTTGCAATTGTGAGTTCACACAGGGAAGGAGAGAGAGCCGAGGACGCAGGGCGCAGCCGTCCTGGGTGCGGTGCGGCCCAGGGGCTGGAGTGGAGGCCGCTGGCCCACCGCTCACAAGTCAGGCTGCCCCTGTGGCCCCTCCGGCCACCTTAGGACTCGAACCCAGGGATCTTGTTCTCTTTTCCAGCTGTTTGGGGCTTCCTTGTGTCTGTTTCATTAATTCTAAGTCTACTTTTAAAATAATAGATAACATTTTAAAAAATATATAGTTTATTGATTTTGTACAGAGAGGAAGGGAGAGAGTTAGAGAGTTAGAAACATCAATGAGAGAGAGTCATCGATCAGCTGCCTCTCGCACACCCCCTACTGGGGATGTGCCTGAAACCAAGGTACATGCCCTTGACCAGAATTGAACCCGGGACCCTTCAGTCCCCAAGCCGACGCTCTATCCTTTGAGCCAAACCGGTCTCAGCAATAGATAACATTTTGATGTGTTTCCTTTAAAACTGAGATTCATAGAAAGTTTCAAACATACATAACAATAGAGGGAGCAGTACAATGTGGCCTCATGTTATCTACTCAAAGCTCTTCTGGTTCTGTCTCTACCCCTGCCGGCTAACTAGCATTGTCCCCTCGGGTAGTCTTTAGGCAAATCCCAGACACACATAATTTAATCCGTACGTGTTATACTTCAATTTGTGTCTCTAAAAGCAGGATTCTATCGTTAGATGTTACATCAATGCCATTATTGCACCTAAAAAACATAGTAGCTTCTTATCAGTCAATGTTGAGTTTCCCTCGATTGTCACATAGGAGTTTTCCACACGTTGTTCGCATCAGACGCAGACGTTGCGCCCAGCACGCTGCTCAGGGATGCTGCTGCCCTGCCCGGGCGTCCTCGTTGCGTGGCGGGCAGGCTGTCCCTCCTTCCCCTGCTACAACGCGTTCTTACACGTGTCTGTCTGGAGGTCTGGAATATTCCGTGGGTGTGATGTGAGGTGGTTTGGCCTGAGCGTAAGAATAATGATGAAGGTTCACTTTACCAAATTGAAATGTATCTAATAAAGAGAGGATGAAAAGGGGAAAGGGATGAAGGGAGGGAGGAAAGATAGTGGAGCTGGAGAAAGGAGGGGATAGCGACCAGGCCGGGCAGGAGTGGGGCGGGGAGGACAGGAGAGGAAGGCGGCTTCCTGAGCAGCCTCACGGTTTGTGCCAGCAGCAGGCCGCCTGCCCCGGGCTAGACGGCCCGCAGGAAGTGCTGGACAGAGGAGCTGGCCCGCGGAGCGGTGACCTGGATCTGAGTGGCTCTGCCAAACGGGGCCAGGTGGCTGGCCGGCTCCCTGGGCAGGAGGAATGCAGGCCCGCCTGCCTGGGGCCTGCTGACCGCAGTGCACAGTGCAGCCTCGCCAGCCGGCAGATCCTAAGCCAGGGCGTTCTGGTCCGGGCCCCTGCTCCGCCTGGGTAAGGGCTGCTTCCGGAAGGTCACCCATTAGCCTCGGGGCCATCTTTTAGTTCCTGTTTTGGCCAAGGACCATCAAGTTTAGACACAAGAGTGGAGAATACTGGTTCTTTAATAATTATCCCGTTGTGTTCAGCCGGAAACACGGAAATGGAGGAAGAATAAAAGATCACTTGATCTCAAAAAAGCAGTTTTTCCATTTCCTGCCGTACAGACAGCTAACACTGTGATTACAGGTCATTGTAACTGTCCTCCTCATACTCCTGTGTTTCCCAGACTTTCTGAGCATTCTTACATGTGAGGGGAGAAAAAGTGAATGCCTCCCTAAAAATCACGTCCGGAAACAGAGTGGCTTCTCCCTGCTGTGAGGAGCATTATCTGCCTCCCCACTGTTCACCGGGGGAAGCCTTGGCACTGAGGGAGCAAGCTGTTTGTCTCAGGCGGCAGAGCGAGCGGGGCCCGGGCCCGGGCTGCTCAGGGTCTGAGCCGCAGCTGTGGCACCGGAGGTGGCCCGGCCGCCCCCTGGCCCATCACCAGCTGGACGTGTGGCCTCCGCGCGGTTCCCTGGGACCAAAGGCACATGCCTTCCTGCCAGGGCTGGTGCCAGGCTGAGCTTTTTCCTCCTCCCTGGACAGCAGTTCGACAGGAAATCCGATGCCCGGAGTGGAACTTTGGGACGTGCCCACTCCCGGCCAGGAGGCAGCTCCAGGGAAGGTGGGGGCTGCCCGCTGGGTTATGCAGGGTGCTCCCTGGCCCCGCAGTGTGCGGGGGGAGGGGGGGTGTCCTGCGGGTGGGGCGCCTGGTGCGCAGGCCAGGGCCTCGCTGTGAATGCTTTAACAGGAGGCCGTGGGCGGGTCCGAGCTGGAGGGCCTTGCGGCGTGGGCACCGGACCTCCGAGGCCCAGCCCTCGCTTTGCCAGGACCTCCTCTTCCTGGCATGCTGGGGGGAGCCTGTGAAATAAATCCAGTAGTTAGTGGGCAGGACTGAGCCCGCTGGCTGCAACTGTCTCTGAAAACACAGAGCCCCCAGGCAGGGCGGTCGCCGGGGTCCCTGCTCTGACTGGTGATGCTGCTGAACTTGGACAAAGGACAGCAGGAAAGAGAAGAGCAGGGATGAGGCTCTGAGCACTGCTTTCTGTTCTCCGAGGAGGCCGTTAACGTCCATTTGAGTGGCTTGGCACGGGCGCAGAACCTGATCCTGTATAAATAGCTGCCTGTGTTTATGCCTCCGCCAGCGTGGGATCCCCAGGCAGGAGAGCTGCCCTCTGGGACGGCCGCGGGCGGGGGAGGAGGGAGGCTGGAGGACCGTTGGCCGGCCTCTCCGGCAGGGACGTCCACGCAGGCCGGGGCTCCGCCAGCGCCCACGTGTGGGTCCACACGGCCCTTTGGTGCCGTCCCGTTTGGGGCCGACTCCCCTTCCTTCCCGCAGCTCCAGGCCCTCCGTCCCCGCCACTGGGCTGGGGACCAGCAGTTTCCTGACTGGCTGCTCCGTGTCCTGGCGAGAGCTCCCTCCTGGGACCCGGGGTGGGCAGTGTGGCTTTGTGTGCAGCCCGGCCGCGAGGCTCCCTCCGCCCCGCTCACTGTCTGCAAACCGCTGGCCGGAGCCGTGGCTTAGCCGCCCCGCGTCCAGGTTCTCGATTTGTAGACGTGGCAAACCACACGGGTTCTGTGACCCACATGTTTGAGTGTTCAGCACACACCTCCTGCCCCTCCCCTTGCCTCCAGGTAAGGCTGCAGCTCTCCCTCCCTCCCATCGGCTCCCCCCGAGCTGGAGGTCACTCCTGCCTCACCGCCCTTCCGCGCGGGGGCAGCCTGTGAACCGCAGGGGCAGCGGCACTTGTGGGCCAGCCCTGGGCAGAGTTCCTGAAGCCACTCGCTCCGGGCGCCCCGGGCCACCCTCCCTGCCATCTCCTGCTGCTGGTCTTACAGACCAACCTGCCTCGGCAGCCGTGAGCCCAGAGGCAGCCTGGTCACTCCTGTGGCAGCAACTGCGCTGCAGGGTGGGCGAGGCCGAAGGGAGACGTTGCCACGGGGGTGTCGCTCCCCTGGAGCAGCGGTTGGAAATGCATTGATTGACAAGAGGGGCTTGTACGGTCAGCCCCCCATTGAGAAATGGGCAGGATGCCCCCAACAGAAGGCCACAGTCTCCTGAGAGTCCCCGGAGCACCAGCCTCCTTGCCACGTGGCCCCGGGCCAGGCCCCGCTGGTCTGTGAGGCCCTCCAGACACGGTTTGCCTGGGTGTTGCCGGCACCGGGGTTCTGTGCGTGAGCCGCGCGGGCATCACGGGGTCAGTCCATGACAGTGTCCGTGTGCCCAAGCGCATGGAGCCGAGCGGTGCCGCGGCCCCGGGGCACACACATGTCTCATGAACAAATAACCGTCTGTTTAGAGCCGCCAACTTCACAAACAGGGGGAAAGCTGCTTTCTCCTCTGAACTTAAACGACTTGGAAAATATAAACAATCTGTAAATTGCCTGGACATACTCAAGGAGACAGCATCTTGGCTTGGAGCAGAAGCTTTGTTCTGGAGCATTCCGTGCCTCACAGATTAAAGCATGTCCTTTGTAAAGGGAGAAGGGTGGGCTGACCGAGGACTTTCTATCTGGAGTCATGATTTTAAACGCTGTCCAAAATCCCTGCATGGGCCTGGCCATCAAAGCAAGAACGGGAAGTTACAGCCCTCTCCCGAGAGCAAAGGGTGCTCGCAGAGGCAGCAGGAGGGCCCCTGCCCAGCCTCCCACGGAGGAAGCCTGCGACCCTCCGAAGTGGCTCCCAAGCTCCTTCCCCGAGGCCCTGGCCACCTGGCGCGATTCGGCTCCTGGCCTCGGGGTGGCCAGCAGGCGGGGCTCCGCGGCGGGGTTTGGAGGCTCCCGTTAGGACGCTGTCCGAGTGGGGCTTGGGTTCGGGCACAGGCAGGTGGTGACTGGTGCCAGTCCCTGGACGATTTCTGGAGTCCCCGGCGGCACCCTTGTTTGTGATTCGCTTCCCAGAATTTCCATTATTCCCCATCTTCTCAGGTGTTCCCTTTGTTTCGGAAAAACAGCCCAGGCCGAAGCCCCGTGTAACCGGAGTCCGGATGCTGGCCCACGTGGGCCCGGTGGTAACTCTGCCCGACGGTGGGGCCCTGGGCCGAGGCTGTGCCCGGCCACTCTCCCCCAGCCAGCCTGGGGACACTCGGTCCCCTCTGTCCCGGGAAGGACAGTGTGTTTAACCTCTGAGAGAGGTGCTGCGGGAGCAAGCCATTCTGGTGAGAGCGGTTTCGCCCTCGCAGCTGCCTGCATCCAGGGCTCTACAAACTGTCCATAGCGATCACTGACATGATCCTAGCACCCCTGTGAGGCCGAAACGCGGGAACCCCCACCCCGTTTTACTGAGACGGGTGTTAAGGAAAGCTGGGCTGGAGCCCCCTAACCTGGCTCTTCCGCCCCGCAGCTCCCCGCGGGCCCAGCAACTCTCCTTCCTGCGCAGTGGCCTCCTGAGCAACCTCTACCTGCACCGGCCTGGCTGCCCTGTGCCCCTGCTCCGGTGGCTGTTCCAGGTGAGGACCAGGCCTGCCACCAGGTGGCGGGAGCGTTCCGGCCCACAGCCGGGCAGGCGCGGGGAGGGGAGGGAAGGGCAGAGGAGTGGGGAGGGGCGGGGGCCTGCCTCTTCCTCCTCAGGTCTGGGCTGCTTCTGGATTTGTTTCCCTGAGGCAAGAGGAGGAAGGCCTGTGATGGCATGTGGTCTGTCACCCAGAGCATGTGCCTCGCAGGGTGCTGCCTGTGCCCCGAAGTCCTCTGTGATTCTTTCCCTGCTGCTCCACAGGCGCCTCCTGGTCCTGGCTCATCTCTACTCCAGGTCTCAGGGCCTGGCTCAGGGCCCGGCTCAGGGCCACCAAGGCCTGGAGACCCTGTAGGTGGGGGGCCTCATGAACTTCCAGCTGGGGTTGCTCAGGTGTTGAGCGTCTGCCTCTTCTGTGGGTGTAGTCAGCTGGGGAAGCCCAGAGCAGCTGCGCTGGCCCCTTTCTGCCCCGCTGGTTCCCCTGGGCCTGAGAGAGAGGGTGAGAGCCAGCAGGGACAGCCCAGGCACAGCTGCTGAGGTCTGAACGCTGCCAGCCTTGGCACCTGCCCAGACCAGACCGTCCCTGTCCCGGAGGCAGGTCAGAAGTTCCGCCTGGTCTCATCCTGGCATGTTGGAGCCTGGATCCCAGCTGTACAGGAAAGCAGCTTGCAGGGCAATTGGACAAGGAAGTCGCCTTGCTGCCTGGCTGCCTTCCAGGAGGAGCCCTCCAGCTCTCTCCTCCCCTGCCCCTCCCTGCCCCGGAGGGAAGAGGCACCCTTGGTGCCTGGGGCTATTGAGTGTGGCTGTTGCCCTTGTCCCTCCCCCGGGCCCAGTGGGAATGGTGGCCCAGTGGCAGGGAACAGTGTGGCCATTCTTCTCTGCTCCCAGTCTGTGCTCCACGCACAGTATATGACAAAACACAATCGGGCATTGGGAGGCACAAAGGGCTCGTCTGAGACATCGCCCACAGAGGGTCCTTGTGTGACCCTGGCACGGTGTGGACGGCCTCCCTGTCCGTGAGTCCTGGGGGGAGCGAGCTGTCCCTGCAGTCTCCTCTCCCACCTCTGTCACGGGAGGGGGGGGGGGATCGTAGCCCGGAGGCACCAGCCTGAGGCAGACCATTCCTCCCCGCCACTTCCTGCCGTGTGACCTTGGTTTTGTGTTCTGTGGCCTGGGGCTGAGAGTCCCATGAGGAGGTGAGTGAAGTCCTGTGACCTGCCGTGTTTGGAGGTCCCCATGGCGCTGCCGGGCCTGGCACCTTGTGAAGGAGAGTTAGGGAGAGGCTCCAGCTCTCCATCTTCAGGAAGGAGCCAAGTGGCCATGTGGCTGCCATGTGTCACTGCAGGCCTTCACCGGACTCTGCCATTTCACCTCTGAGGTTTGGGCGTCCTTGTACTTGGAACACTTCCTCATGGAGCAGCACCATCCATTCATCCGTAGACATCGGCTAAGGTCCTGCTGCTGTACTGAGCTCTAGGGGTGGAAGGGCTTGGGGGCTGGCGTCCCGGGTGCCTGCCCAGAACGTGGCCCTGTGCTCAGCAGACTTCTGAGCCTCGCTATTACAGGGACTCTGGCGGCAAGAGACAGCAGTCCATGGGGCTCCCTGAAGCTGCTGAGGAGACTCTTAGGAAGGTGCAGGGGTCGTTTGTGGGTCCTCGGGAGGAGCAGGAACGAGGATGGAGAAGGATTGGATCCTAGGAAAGATCTCGGCTTTACTCTGCAGACTCCATGGCCCAGTAAATTCTCAGGAAGGAGAGTCTGATTGGACTAAGGGGTTAATGACGCCCCCAACCCCACTCCATCCAACCAAAGGCGCCTGGGGGAGCAGTGTCCCTGGGCTGCCCAAGGCTCCCGGCACACCTGGAGCTGACTCAGAATCGGGGAGCAGAGCAGACCTCCCATCGGCTCATCGGCTGTTTCTTTGGAAAGAATATCCTCAGGGCCCTGGGACAGGGTCCTGCCACCCTCCGGGCTCCTCCCAGGGGCTTCCGTTGGGTATACAGTGGGCACCGGGTGAATAGACTTTGGCCTCGGTGCTCATGAATCACATGAACTTGTTACTAGAGCGCTAGTGTATGCCTGCCAAGTGAGCCTTGCTGGGGTCGTGGACAAAAGCAGGTATCATATGCTCTGAATTTATATTCTTGTTGGGAAACAATCAGATGTCCAGCTATGGATAAAGAAATTATGAGAAGTTATGAGGGGAGGAGGAGGAGGAGGAGAGGAGGAGGAGGAGGAGGAGGCGGCGGCGGCAGAGTTCTGGTGTCTTAGGTCAGATCCCGGGAAGCTGACTCTGAGACGTGATTTCCCAGCAGATTTCTGGGAAGAGGGTGGGGTGTGCGACACCCTCAGCAGCTACCCTGGGAGGGAGAGAGGAAGGCCTGGGCGGAGTCAAAGCAAATGCAAGAGAGGTCACAGTGGGGTCTTCTGGAACTGGAGGGACCTCTAGAGTTGTCCCAATGGAGGCAAGGGGTGCAGGCCTTTGCACCCCAGCCTAGGTCAGTTCTCGGACAAAAGCTGTGCTTGGAGGGGTGTGAGACCTTGGGTGAGGCATTCCCTTCATCCAAGTTAGTGGCCAGAGGGACTGGCTCAGGGCCTCAGGCAGCCACCGCACTGAGCCCTGGGTGGGGCCCTGTCCTGGAAGGGGCGGTGCCCAGGGCATCCACCTCTGAGTTCTTTCTCAGCGCTCAGGAGGGTGGTTCGTGGGCAGCATGGCCGGATCTGTGTCCCCAGGCCAGATGGCACTGCCGGGGAGGGAGCTGTCCATGCCACTCACCCCAGATGCCCAGCTTGTGAGCCTGCGGGGCTAAAAAATATTAATGCTTTTCCTCCCACTTTCCAAGTTCTTCTGGCTGGGCTAATAATCAAGCGAACAGGTTATCAGAGAAAAACAAAGCTTAATGCATGTGCCTAGGAAACTCACATGGGCATGGAATTCCGAAGACAGTGAGGCAGCATCAGGTAGATAAGACATTTTTGGGCAAAAGAGACAAGAGGGAATGGGGGATTAGATTCCAGAAGTGAGAATGGCTGACTCACAGGCAGTCGAGGAAGAGCAAGAGGCCCCTGGCAGGAAACCTTTTGCTAGACAACCCAGAGGGCGTGCTTCATGTGCAGCTCCCAGGCCTGCGGCTCCACCGTCATTCCCACGTGGCTCAGGTGACCTAAGGTCTCCTTCCTGGAGCAGCTTGTCTGTCTGAATCTCTTGGGCAGGACAGGGAGGAGGGTCAGAGCTTCTTTCTGAGTTTTTTAACAAACAGCTTAAAATCAATATGCCAGCCGAAACCTGTTTGGCTCAGTGGATAAAGCGTCGGCCTGAAAACTGAAAGGTCCCAGGTTCAATTCCGGTCAAGGGCATGTACACTGGTTGCGGCACATCCCCAGTAGGGGGTGTGCAGGAGGCAGCTGGTCAATGTTTCTCTCTCATCAATGTTTCTGGCTCTCTATCCCTCTCCCTTCCTCTCTGTAAAGAAAAAAAAAAATCAATAAAATATATTTTAAAATATAAATAAATAAAATCAATATGCCAGAAAGGGCAGCTTCAGGGAAGCAGAATTTTGGTCCCTTCAACCCTCAGAGTCAAGGAGCCTTTAAGCAAGGATTCCAGGACATTTGAGTCAGTGGGTGACCTGCTGCCCGCACCCCGCCCGGGCTGCTGGAGGCCCTGCGCTGAGTGCAGCCGTCGTCTCATCTCAGATGATGGCCGTCTCAGACGGCGGAAGCTGAGGCACCGATCTGGGCGTGATGGGGACCACAAAGGGGTCCGGCCTGTCATTGTCCAGCTGACTTTCAAGCTCTTTCTCTTTCCTGCACTGGCCCAGCCTGGAGGGGCCCAGCCGTGACAGGGAGTGAGGGGCAGGACAAGACTCCGCACAGGGAGGTGGACGGAGTAGGAGGGTTCAAGTCACACAGACCGGCTGCACCCTGGCTTTGCCCGTACGAGCAGGGTGACCGGGGAAGCTGCTTGCCCGTATGAGCGGGGTTCCTCCTCTACGATGGCAGTGATGACAGTGTCCGTGTCCCGCACGGCGTGAGGACGGAGCAGTAACGGTGTGTGCTGTACGCAGGGGAGTGACCGGCCTCCTGTTATTTCTCCTCCCAGCTGCTGACATGGCCTCCAGAAGTTTCCTCCGGCGCCTTTGGTCTCCTGTGGGATCTCAGCGTGGATGGTCTCTTTCGTCCGTCCGGTCAGTACCGGGGGTGGGGTCACCATTCACAGCTCCCAGTCTCCTGCGCCGGCCTGCGGGGGAGGTGCTGTGGGCGCTGGGGGCGCAGTGTCACCAGGCTGTGGAGACATGGGGCCATCGTTGGCTCTGGCGTCGGCATTAGTAGAAAGCTGAGCCGACAGGCTCCGTGGCACCTGGATCTGGCCTCAGGGGAATAGCACTGTGGCCAAGCCCAGGCTGGCCTCACAGACTCGGGATCCCAGAACGGTCTAGAAGGCAGTTCCCTGGATTTAAGGGGACAGTTCTTTCTGAACTTGTACATCAGGTCAGGGAAGCTCCTGGGGTTGGATTAACCAGGGGCTGGAGCCATGCCCACCAGCAGTGAGGCCCGAGTTTGGTCTGGAGAGAGAGCCTCACATCTCTGTCTTGGCCCTGACAGCGAAGGTGCACAGAAGCCACCCTTACACTTCCAGAAGTTCTGAGTTCACAGAAGCAATTGCTTTTCCCTCCAGTGGCTGCACACTTCCCAGGCTGTCACCATTTCATTCCTGAACCCAGACACTTTGGCACCAAAAACAGTATCATGCACCCAGTTGCAAGTTGCTTGCAGCAGGCAGACAATGAGAGGGACAGACAGGTGTCCAGACCCGCCTTCGCTCACTAGCGGAAGTCTGCCCACCCTCTCTCTCAGACACTGATGGCATAGCTCAGAAGGCCAAGGTCGGAGACCTATGATGCACCATTGACACCCCACCAGCACTTTGACCTTCTGCTTTTGTGCCTCCTTGTTTCAGGAGTTGGCTGAGCTGGGGGCCAGCTGTCAAATTAGAGCATCCAGACCCCTGCCCCCGCCTAGGGCCCCTCTGAGGATTTCTGAATAGCCCCAGTCTCAGCATCCTCTCCCTTTTCATAACCTCTGCCCCTGCGCCCGCTGCCCTTTCTGGAGCCTCTGGGCACCTCTGCGGCATGCCTGCCCTTTGGGGAACAGAGGCCTCCCTTGTCCTGCTCTCCTCCAGGCAGTGCTGTGTCTCCTCTCAGAGAGGGGGCGAGGCCGGCCCACTCTGCTCTGCTTCTTGCCACATTGTCCTTGATTCGCCTGCACCAGGGCGGCCAGGATCTCTCCGGAGCTCCCAGGTGGCTTAGCTCTGCTCCCTCCACCCCAGGGCATTTCTCATGCACCACCTGAGAGTCCATCCAGGGGCTCTCCCCGCCCTCCCCCCTCTTCTCCCCCCATCCCATAGACTGGCCTACAATTCCAGGCCCAAGGTGCAGTCTTCACGGATTCAGAGAAAGTCAAAGGCCAGGTCCACAAATGAACTGTCTGCAGGGACTTGAACAGATGTCCTCACCCGCAGGCTCACAGCAACATTACTCACAACAGCCAAAAGGTGCGAGCAACCCAAGACCGCGCTGGTGGGTGACCGGACAGTAGTGTGTGTACACACGCGATGGAGCACGAGTCAGCCTTGAAAAGGAAGGAGCCGGCAGGCTGCAGCACGGATGAGCCTGGAGGACATCATGCTGAGTGAAATAAGCCAGATTCAAAGGGACAGCTGCTATATGACTCCTTCTATGTGAGGGCCCTAAAGTCATCGGAATTATAGGGGTGGAAAGTAGAAGGCGGTTGCCAGGGAACGGGAGGAGGGTGGGGAGTTCGTGTTTGATAGGCACACTGTCTGGGAAGGTGAGAAGTTCTGGGGAACCATAGATTTTGCCATCCTAACCCTCCTCACTGTGTGCAGTCACCATCACCATTCCACGTTCCGTGCTTTGTACCATCACACACACACACACACACACACACACCAGCCAAGTCCAGAGCCTAGAGCAGTGCCGGGAGAGACCACCAAAAGCCGGAGCTGAAAGTCAGCCGCCGGTTCCGGAAGCGTTTGGGAGCTCCGTTAGACCCGGGTCGCTGCAGACAGACAGAACCAGGCGCCCTGGGATTCGTGTACAAGCTGGGGTGCTCTGAGTGCCTCCAGCACAGGCCACAGCCTCCGGGGAGAACCCGGTCCCTCCCGTCGGGATCTGTGATCGGTGTGCCTGACCTTCCTCTGTAAACGGGGTATTTCTTCCCTTTCCTGGAACTCGTGGTTGTGGGCAGCCCTTCCAGACCACGCTGGGGAGTCACCCACCACGCTTCCCCAGCCTGCGAGGGCGAGGCGCCTGGCCTCCGGCGAGCTGGCCGTGTGCAGGTGTCCTGCGGGTGAGGGGCTGAGACTGGCAGCGGGGTCCCTGGAGTGTGGTACTGAGTGTGGCAGGAGGATTTTCCTGACTGAGAAGCACACATAACTGTCTAGGGGGACGGGATACTCCTGACCCTGGTGTTCTTCATGCAGGGGCTGTCTATCCAGTTATTCAGCAGACGTGTTCCGAGGCGTCCTGTATTCTAGCAGCTCGCTTGGGGTCGTGGCAGAGGGAGAGGAGAATGAGGAGGCAGATCCTGCCCTCGTGGGCCGGATGGCTGCGCAGCTGCAGTAAGAGGTGGGAGGAAGGCCAGGGCAAACAGTGGACTTGCACGGAAGGGGGATTACTCCAGCTAGATGGGGACAGGAGTTGGGGTTGATTTGTAGAATGGGGGCCAGTAACCCATCTCTTGAAAGATGGTAGTTGCCTCTCTTAAGGGCTGGCAGGTCCAGTGCGCCAGGTCTCTCCATTTCAAGACGAGCTGCGTGTTGGTTAGGATGGACTTTGCCTGTAAGGAACAAATACCAGGTCAGAGAGGTTTATTATCTCACGTGAGAAACATTCCAGAGGCGGGATTACGGGCCCTATCCAGCAGATCTGAGTGTCAGAGCCCTGGCTCAGCCCGGGGCTGGCGGCTCCCGCAGGGTTGCAGGGTGGCTGTCGTGGCTCCGGCGTCACCGTGTCCTGTGAGGGAGCAGTGCGCAAGGCAGGACATTCTTTGCATTTCGTTTCACTAAACAGAACCATGTCACGGGCTTCCTGACTGTCAGTGCCCTTTGAACCCCTGGCTATGTCTGAAAAATTTCAGCTCCATGAATCCTACTCCTTCAGGAACTCCGGACACTCACTTTTCCAGCCTCTTTCCAAATTTTGAATTTTTAGTTTTGGAATTTCCATTTAGTCCTCTTTTCTTCTTCTTCTTCTTTTTTCTTCTTCTTCTTCTTCTTCTTCTTCTTCTTCTTTTTTTAATAGTTTCTGTTTCTCTACTGGGATTTCTTGTTCATTCAATGTGAGCATATTTTCATTGATCTCCTTGAGCACAGTTATAATAGCCGCTTTAAAATTCTCCTCTGTAATTCAAACACCTGGATTATCTAATTCATTACATGGAAAATTAAGTATGAAAGTGAGCTGTTACTTAGAATGAGTAAAGAAGTCATGGACCAAAGTGCTGGACCATGGGAGGTTCTTCCTCCTCCATCTTTTCAGAGTGTTTTCCAGAGACATTCACGCCCAAATGCCCGCTGGCCGTGCCGGGCTTCCTTCCCCGGCCTGGAACTTTCGGGCGCGCGGGGGAGAGCCCTGGGCCCTAAGCTTCACCAGCTTTGTGGGCAGTGGCTCTGGCACATGATAGGCCTGTTTTCTCTCAAACAGCCAGTCCTGGGCTAAGAGTTCTGACTGCTCCAGGAGCCCCTAGGCCAGTCCCTGCAAAGGGCAGGGGGATGCCACGGTTCTCCCACTGGATGGACCAGCTTTTCCCAGCAGAAGCCAGAACAAAGCCCGCTTCTCCCAGGGAGGAAGAGGAGCGTGGCTCTTGGACAGGCAGCCACTGCCACGGCCAGAATGTGGGTGTTTATGTGAAATCTCAGGGTAACTAAGTCAGTTAGAAAACAAAAGTAGAAACTGCCCCGGCAGGGTTAGTGTCTGCCTGAAGGACTGAAGGCTCATGAGTTCGATTGCTGGTGAAGGGCAGGTACCTCTATCTCAGTTGCAGGTTCAATCCCTGGTCCCTGCTGGAGGCAACCAGTTAGTGTGTCTCACATTGATGTCTGTCTCCCCCCACCCCCTCCCCGCCGCCCCCCAATTTTCCTCCCTTCTCTCTTCTACTCTCTCTCTAAAGATCAATGGAAAAAATATCCTCGAGTGAGGATTGAAAAAAAGGAAAGCAAAAACTCCCGCTGTGAATCCTTCTGCAGATTCTTTTCAACTGTAGATGGAACATAGCTCCAGTGGCCTGCCCCCGAGGAGAGGATTCAGGTGCAGAGCTCAGGGAAGCAGAAAGCAGCAGAACAAAGAAAAGGGGGTGCAGGAGATGAGGCTGAACATTGGGGGCCCGGTCTCAGAGGACAGTGGGGTCGCTACAGACAGGGTGAAGCTTACTCTTTGTTAAGACCAAGACAGAATGTTGCTATTTAGATATAATCTACATACCATATAATTCACTCCATTAAAGTGTGTGATTCAGTGTGGTTCACAGAGCTGTTCAACCATCACCACTGTCTAATCCTGAGCATTTTCCTCACCCAGCACAAGACGCTTCAGACCCATCAGCAGTCACTCACTCTCAGTCCCCCTCTCCCAGGCTCTGGCAACCCCTAGGCTATGTCTGTCTCGGTGGATTTGCTTAGTCTGGCCACTTCACATAAATGGAATCACACAGTAGGTGACCTATTTTTTTTAATGGTTGAAAATATTACATATGTCCCCTTTCCTGAACTCCCACATTGACCTCTTCTATCCTCCCTTTCCCACCCCCAGGCCTCCACCACCCTATTGTCTGTGTCCATGGGTTATGCATATATGCATACAAGGTGTTTGGTTGATCTCTTCCCACCCACCCACCTTCCCTTGCCTTCCCTCTGGGATTCCAGTCTGTTCCATGCTTCTGTATCTCTAGACCTATTTTGTTCATCAGTACTTTTATACCATGGAATACTGTGTAGCTGATAAAAAAAAAGGATCTCTTACCTTTAGACAGCATGGAGGGGCCTGGAGAGTATTATGCTAAGCGAAATAAGCCAGTCAGAGAAAGACAAGTATCACATGATCTCCCTCATATGTGGCATCTAATGAACAACAACAAAAAGGTAGGTTATCTTTTGTCTGGCTTATTT